GTGGTTCAGATTGGATGCTGTGTTCACGTCACTGCTGCCTCCGGCTACCACCATGCTGTCTGGGGGCCTGCACAGCTCCTGAGGCTTCTGCTCTGCCGCTGGGCCTTGCTGGGCCTTGCTGCGCCTCGCTGCTGGCTGGAATACCCCTGCACAGGATCTCCCGAGTCTCAGCTGCTGGGCCCCTCTGCTGCTGGCTCCCGCCACGCTTCCTGGGCCTGTGGGGCTCTCCTGCCACCATGCTACCTGGGCCCCCGCTGCCTGGTCGGGCCCGCTGCACACTCAGGCCTCTGCTCTGCACAGGCAAATGTTACAGCCCTTTTAGCTTCACTGGCAAGCCTCCTGCTCTGAGGCGTCTGGCTTCACCCTGCTGTAGGAAGGCTTCTGCACAGGATCCTCCAAGGCAACCCCTCCATAGGGCGCACTCAGGCCTCTGCCCTGCACAGACAAGTGTTGACAGCTCTTTTAGCTTCCCCAGCAAGCCTAATGCCTGAAGGCACTCAGCTCTTACTTTGTGGGTCGGGAAGCCCACCACAGCTGCCTCATGCTGTCGCTAGTGTTACAGCTCTGTCTCCTGGGTCTAGGAGGTTCTCAGGGCAGGGACCCCCAGGTCCTTCGTCCAAAGGATGTGCTCCACTCCAGACTCTGCTTGATGATAGTGAGGGCCCTCCCAAACCTCTTTGGGATTGGCTCTTTTAAGCCCAGCAGGATGGCAGAACTGACCAATCCCTGTGGTAGGCCACAGTCAGCTTATTTGCTGGCAAACAGGGAGGGCGGAGAGGTGGACAGGTTAGACCACACAGGGTGTGAAGGCCACACTACCAGTGTTTTGTCCCAAAGACAGGCTGTATGACATGGTCGGGAGTCCCCGGGTGTTGCAAACGGCTGCAAACCGAAAGGTTTGAGGTTCCAGTCCACCCAAAGGTGCCTCGGAAGAAAGGCCTGGTGATCTACTTCCAAAAAGTCAGCCATTGAAAACCCTATGGAGCACAGTTCTACTCTGACACACATGGGGTTGCCGTGAGTCAGAATCGACTCGACAGCAGCAGGCTTCTTATGACATGGTCAGATTTGCATTTCCAGAAGATCACTCTGGCTGCAGAGTAGCGAGTGTGCTGAAGGGGGCAGAGCAGGTGTGCATGGACCAGCTTTGCAGTAGGGCCAGGGGAGAGAACACCGGAAGCTGGACTGGTTTGTGGTGGTGGAGATGGAGTTGAGATGTATTTTGAGATAAGAGATGCCGGAACTTGCCGACGGGTTGGATTGGATATGGGTGGGATGGAGGAGAAGGGTGTCAAGGACATCACATGGGTTTTTGGCTTGGCAGTTGGAAAGTAGGTAGTTAATTGTGAGAGGGCGCCCCAGAAGAAGACAGCGTTTAGGGGTACAGGATCACAGTGCAATTCCAGATGTGCTGGAGGTTCTGAGATGCTCGGGAGCAGTCATCAAGTTGGCAGGTGGGGATACATTTCAAAGTTCAGAGGAGGTCTTGGTTAGAGACGCCCACGTGTCCATCATCTGCACAGAGGTGGCCACAGGCCACACTCACAGAAAGGATGGCCCCAGCTGGACACCGGTTCTCTGGCATCTGCTGTTTCTCCCACTCACTTGGCCCAGCCAGCTTTGTTTGCCCAGTTACACGTTTTCAACAGTCCTCTGGCCATCCGGTGCTGTGGGTTTCCAGATTTGCTTTTGTCCTGCGGGCATTTGGGCTGAGAAGTCATGGGGCAAACATCCCAGTCGCAGCTGCCTGAGCATGTCCTGTGAGGCTCTGGGGTGGTGAAGGCGTCTGGCTCACAGTTAAAGTGGAATCACGGGAATTCACCCTGATGGTGTTTAATGTATAATCATTTTGTTTTTGAGTAGATAATACATGGATTTGTTAAAAAAAAAAAAAAAGAAATATATATATCCTTTCAAGGTGTAAAAGCATATTCTGTGAAAGCTTACTCCCACCCCTTCGCCAACTCCCTAGTTGTCTCCTTGCAAGCAGTCATTGCTGTTACCAGTGTCTTAGATGAACTTCCTGAGTCTTCAGCATGGGTGGGTGTGTGTGTGTTCATTGGTGCACACAAATGGCGCCTGTGCCCTACACACACTTTCTGCACCCTGCTTTTTTCATTCAACTATGTATCTTAGAGATCTTTCCCTATCAGTGTGCATTTAGATTTGCTTTGTTTTACTTTGTGCACAGTATTCCATTGTATCCGTTTGTCAGAACTCATTTCACCAGCCCCCAGTCGATGGACACTCACGTTGTTTGCAATCTGCTTTTCCCAAAAAAAAAAAAAAAAAAAAGAATGTTGTCCATATGCTTGTACGATGACATTTTACATAAGCGCAAGTCCAATATATTTGGGGGATAAGTTCCTAAAAGTAGAATTGCTGGGTCGAAGGCTGTGTGTATTTTACATTTTGACAAGTATTAAAAATTGCTTTTCATCCAACTTTTTATTTGAAGAAGGGGTCTGTGTACTTGGAGCCAAGTGGGATAACACCCTTTCTGTCTTCAAGGCTCCATCCCCATTGGCACCTCTTCAAAGGACCACCCTATGCATCTGTCTGCTCTGTGAGAACATGCCTTTTATCTGATTAGGGCAGCAGGAAAATGTTTATTGGTAATGTGAATGTTTCAGAGAATAGACCATTAATATAGCAATGAAAATTTTGAAGACTGAGAATTAGTTCTTAAGAGATTGTCCACTAGGGGACTTGATAACATTTTCTTTTCCTCCTGCCTATCTCAATTAGTCCGGATTATGTTAGACTTCGTCTAATTGTTGTTGTTAGCTGCCTTTGAGTCAGCTCCTGACTCATGGCAACCGCATGTGTTACAAATAGAACTGCTCCAGAGGGTTTCCCTGGCTGTAATCTTTACAGAAGCAATTCGGCAGACCTTTTCTTCGAAGAGCTGCTGGGTGAGTTCAAACCACAAACCTTTGGGTTAGGAACTGATTACAAACCACTTGCACCCCCCAGGCTCCTTTAGGCTTTACATAAAAGAAAACCTAAAATAACAGTAGTTTATAAACAATGTAAACGTGTGTTTCCCTTTCATACAAAAGACATTTGGAGGTAGGTAGTCCAGGGCTGGTCTGGTGGCTCCACAGCCAGCAGGAATCCAAGCTCCTTCCATCTTTCTCCATCATCAACCAAACACTGGCTTCCATCCTCAAGATTACTTCATGCACAAAATGGCTACTGGAGTCCAGCCATCATGTCTATGTTCCAGGAAGCATGATGAGGAAGGTAGAAGGACAAAAAGTACATGCTTCTCTGCTTAGATGGCTCTTTACATAGTCTTACTTCTAAATTCCACACATGCACGCAGGGCTCCCGTGTACCTCTGTGCGTGGTGCACACTGCAGAACCCTAGATGATACCATTGACATCATCAACCTCATGGATTTATATTTTTATTACAAGTGCTTTCTGGCAGATGGCAATGAGATTTCTTGTTCCAAAATCAGTATATTAATTTTTTGACAGATGGAAGTGTTTTGAGGAATGGGTGCCTTTTTTTAATTCACACAACAATTTGTACCATTGGCGAGCCTCCCCTAAATACATTTACAGCTCTTTGTCTGAACTTAATCACACTGTCATACCATGTTGCACAGGGGGCCGGGAAATTTAGTGCTTAGCTGGGCTGCTCCAACTAAAATAAAAATTCCATTGCTAAGGAAGAAGAGGAGAACATCGCTGGCAGTCTGCCATGCTAGCTCAGTGTGACAGCTTATCTGTCGCTCACTAAGGGCAGCTGGAGTGAAGTGTGGGCTCAGGTGGTCCCCTGCCCAGGCTAGCTTTTCCTCATGCAGCCATGAAGCCCTCCCATCCCCAAGTATCCTTCCTTACCTTGCTCTTCTCGGCATGTAATGTACAGAATGGCCATCGGAACCGCAAACACGATTTCTAAGTTAAAACTTCTTGGTTAGTTTCATCGTGATGAAGTAGCAATTTATAAAAGATAAGGTATGGGACTTCTTTCAGCTAGTACAGAAGTAAATGAAACCACTGCACTCTGAAGTCTGTAATTGTCAGCTCTTAATCTGCAATACCCAAGTAGGTTCTTGCGGTTCTTCACCTACGTCGTACACTTTGTCACCTCCATTTCTTTGCACACGATCTCTTTTCTGCCTGGATTGTCCTCAAACCATACTGACTGCCATCACATTCTGACTTACGGTGACCCTATGTTTTACAGAGTAGAACTGCTCCATAGGGTTTACTTGGCTGTAATCTTTATGGAAGCAGATTGCCAGGCCTTTCTTTCATGGCCCCGCTGGGTGAGTTCTAACCGCCAACCTTTAGGTGAGTAGACGAGTACAGATCATTTGTGCCAGGCAGGGACCTGGATTCCACCCCCCGCCCCCATTATTTTCTGCCTGGTAAACTCCTAGTCATCCTTAAAAACCCTGTCTGTGACCTTTCTGTGAAACTTTTGTAGCAGATTTAACCACTCCTACTTTTGGAGCTTCTCTACCATCTGGGTACATACATGGTTGCAGCAACCCCCAGATGGGTGTTTGTTTCCTGTTTGTCTGTCCTTTAGGACCTGGAGCTCCTGCAGGCACAGGGCTGTGACTTACTCCTGAGCCTGCAGGGTCTGGTTTATAGTCACACTCAGTGTTTGAACCAGCCCATGCTCCAGAAGTGTATTTATGCTTGCTTTCCCAAGGCACCAGTGCAAATCTCTTATTTACTTTCAAATTAAAAAAAAAAAAAAAAAAGACTCTTGGCACAAATTACAGGGAAATAATTCACTCTCACTTTCAATATCAATCTTAAATCATGTATTTTAAAACTTGTATTTTTGCCCCAAAGGTAACAGAAATATTACGTTCAATTAAATCATTGAACTAATTTACCTTTTCGTTTTGTTTTTAATTATTCTCTCCTTTTACTTTTTTTTTTAAGTAAACTATTTTTGGAACAGTTTTAGGTTTACAGACAAATTGTACAGGAAGTACGGAGAGTTCCCATACACCCCGTCCCCCTGCACAGTTTCCAGTGGCGTCACTAGGTTGGTGTCCCCTCCCACACCCCCATGGACCTCTTCTCTTACCAGACCACACTGAATCCTTAGTCACATTTTTGTGTAGATCGTTTAATTCCCTGGACCTGCAAGAGTCTCTCCCTCCCTGCAAGCCGACGGGGGGGACAGGCAGGCAGAGGCTGGACTGCTGGGTGATGACCTCCTTCCTGCGGGTTACAGAGTCCCGGCTCCGGTGAGAAGCGCGGCCACCCCAGCCCCGAGGTTACGGGGGCCGGAAAATCAGGGGCGCCGGTGGACTGGCCCCGGCCCCCAGGGTCCGGGTGCCTGGACCGAGGGCCGGGAATGGATGGCGGACACGCAGTCCCGCTGAGCGCTCACTAGCGGCTGGGCCGCCTTTAAGGGCCACCTTAGGCATGCTGCAATCTAGGGGTACCTCTACCGGAGACCCCCTGGCCTTCGAGGTTCCTTTTTGGGGCACGGGCTTACTAGCTCTTTGGCGGGGCAGAGAAATGGGCAGCCAGTGGGGCTGCGCAGCTAGCTCCGGGTGGCAATGGAAAGGGTTAGAGCGAAGCCCTCGGGCCGGCAGGGGAAGGCGCCCTGGGACAGAGGGGGCTTCTCGCGCCCTGCGCCCGGCCCCCCCATTCCAGGCTAGCGTGCGAGCGTTTGGCACATCCCTCCAGGGGCGGTGGTCACGACGCCCGTCCCCGCCCCATCTGGAGGGGGGCGCAGCGTCGGGAAGGTGGCGTGAGAGGGGCCTGGAGGGCCGCCCAACTCCCGGGCTCAGCACCCGGCCCGGCGCAGTCACGGGAGTGGGCAGGGCAGTCTCTCGCAGTCGGTGGGGTGGGGGAGGTTCGCCGCGGAGCAGCGCCCTGAGGCCTGGCCGGAGCCCTGCGGGTGTGCGCCGTTAGATGGAGGGAGGGGCGATGCACAGGGCCCAGGTTTGCGTGTGAGCTCGGCTTCTGCTTGCAAATGGGCACCTGCATGTGTCCGCGTTTTTGGCAGGACACGCAGCCCCAGCACCGCCCCGCAGCCCGCCTGGCTTCGTCGCACGCTGTCACCACCTCAGACAGTAAAACGCGGTGCTGTCTGCACCCCCCGCACCTCCGTATTGACGCCACAGACAGTTTCTCCTATCTGTCTTGCTTTTCTGTGGTACATTTGTTACAGTTGATGAGCCAATATTAATCTTTTTAACAGTGCGGAGAACAAAGCGCCTATTTTCTTTGGCCGCCTATGTTTAAATCAGAACCAGAAAGACAAAATATAAGTAAAATAGCTCCGCTTGCATCAGCAGTCAGTTGCAAATATTTCACATTTATCAGTCTTTTAAGGGTTGAGGTCACTATATTCTCAGCTAACTTCTTCAGCTTGCACACTTATTCCTGATTTCCTTCCAGGTTTCATAAATGCATGCCCAGAACTTGACTTCGGTAGAGAACTTGGGGAATTAAAATGTATATATATAAACCCGTTGCAGTCAAGTCGATTCCAACTCATAGCTGTTCTATAGGACAGAATAGAACTGCCCCGTGGGGTTTCCAGGGAGCAGCTGCTGGATTCGAACTGCGAGCTCTTAACCACTGTGCCACATTTCTTATCATTGGAGTCAGTTGTTGCTCATCAGGTTTCCTTCTAAGCTCAGCGTCTGATAACTAAATCACCAGTAACCCCAGTCATTGTATTTAAAATCAGCCATGAGTCAGAGCCTCCCCAATGGCAACTAACCAACAACAACAAATTTTACAACAAGAGAAAATACATTGTCCTAGCTAGGCAGACTGATTTCCTTGGGGAGGGTACTGTGACTTCCCGAAAAATGCTTTCATTCTGAAAGACTCCCCGCCACCATCCTAGCTTTTCTAGCACAATATTTTGTCAGTATTCTGGAAAACTGCATTACAAAGACAGTAAAAAAAAAAAAAAAAAAACTAATTGGATAAAATATATTTTTCGGAACTTCTGAAGGGTCAGTTAAGCTCTAATTTCAGGTACTAGCATGGTAAAGCAGACGCTCTCATTTGGTATTGTCTTCCTTCTGCATTTTTCATGGCGTTTCCTAAATGCTGGTGTTTTGAGGGGCTGGAATGTTTTCTCTAGCAGCAGGAGCTGACCACACAGAAGAGAAAAATACAGTTCTCCCAAGAAACGCAAACGCTTAGTAAACAGAATTCCGCCCCTGAATGCTGAGAATGTCATTCCTTAGAACAGATAGAAAAGAGGAGCAGAGACTACCCCAGGGATACGTTGATCGTTGAAGCTGTATGGTGGTGCCTCGTGCTTTTCTTTGTCCTCCCGAGCCTGTCCTTGGTGAAGGCACGGGAGAACGCAGAGGTTCCCGGACCACGAGCATCTAAGTGGCTAAATAATCTAATAGGGACAGGGTCTCCTCTGGGTCTATTCCAGCACTGAGATTCTGCACACTATAAGGGATTTAGGGGAAGGGAAAGGAGCACACATTTGCCAAGCAGCAGCTTTGAACAAGGCAGTCTTCACAGTGAGCCTGTGAGGTGGGTGTTGTTATGCCCATTTTACAGACGAGGCCTCAGAATCGCAGAGAAGTCTGATAACTTGCCCAAAGCCTCCAAACTGGGAAATGAGGGAGCTGGGATTTGAACTACCTGAAGAGGGAAGCAAGCTAGAAGCTCCCTGATTGTAAATTATAAGATCTACCAGTCCCTAAAGTCAATGGTATCGGAGTTGCCATTTTGAAGGGTGTCATGGAATGGAGGGAAATCCTGGTGGCGGAGTGGTTAAGAGTTTAGCTGCTAACCAAAAGGTCAGCAGTTCGAATCCACCAGGCGTCCTTGGAAGCCCTGTGAGATAGTTCTACTCTGTCCTGTAGGGTTGCTGTGAGTAGGAATTGACTCAACAGCAACAGGTTTTGGTTTTTTTGGTATGGAATGGAAGTTCTCTAGGTAAGCCCAGGCTGGCTTCTCAAGTAGTAATGCCCACAGTGGGGTCACCATGCTTCACCAAACTTACAAGGTATTTGCATTTTACCTCTTGTATGCTGGGACTGGAGCCTCTGGGTGATGCAAACGGTTAACGTGCTTGACTGCTAACCAAAAAGCTGGAGGGTCGAGTCTCCCCAGAGGCACCTCAAAAGAAAGGCCTGGCCATCTACTGCTGAAAAATCAGCCATTGAAAAACCTGTGGAGCACAGTTCTACTCTGACACACATGGGGTCTCCATGAGTTGGAGTCAGCTTGATGGCAACTGGTGGTTATGCTGATTAAATCCCTCCAGTCTGCCATCCAACATCATCCCTTCCAGAAATCAGGATGCCCGTGGCTGAATTCTGAATCAGTAGGTTTCATTGAGTACAGAATCAAAATCCAGGTAGGCTGTCACATTGAGGGGCACTGTGCTGGCTATGGGGGGAGCCTGTGACTGCGGGATTGCTCTGTGTACCCCTGAATTGTATCAATGCACCTGCCCAAATCTTGTTCTTCAGGTCCCTCTTTTCTAGGCTACAGGGAGCCCTGGTGGTACAGTCATTAAGAGCTCAGCTACTAACCAAAAGGTTGGCAGTTTGAATCCACCAGCCACTCCTTGGAAATCCTATGGGGCAGTTCTACTCTGTCCTACAAGGTCGCTATATACAGACCTATCCCATTTCTGCGCATTGTAACCACTGGGGAGGTTGGGTGCCTGGGCCCCAGCCCCCACCGCCAAGGGGAAACACCATTCTGATGCCTAGCATCACAAATTAGTTTTGTTTGTCTTTGTCCTTTATATAAATGGAATCAAACAGTGTATGCTCTTGTGTGTCTGGCTTCTTTTGCTCAGCATTGTGAGAATCGTCGTTGTTGTTGTGTGTAGGTATAGGTGGTTCATTTTTGTTGTACTGGATTCCATTGTGTGACTGCACCACAAGCTCTCATTGACGGGCATTTGGGTTGTTTCTAGTTTTTGGTTATTATAGATGGTGCTGTTATGAACATTCTACTCTGTGACTTGATGAAGGTATGGACTAATTTTGGTTGGTCATAGAGTTCGTATATGAGTCATAGAGTTTGTATATGTTCAGCTTTAGTTGTTGTTGTTGCTACCTGCTGTCGAGTCAGCCCCTGACTCATGGTGACCTCTGTCACAACAGAACAGAACACTGCCTGATCCTGAGCCCTCCCCTTGATGGGTTTTGGATTGGCCTGTTGTGATCCATAGGGTTTTCACTGACTGATTTTTCAGAAGTAGACCCCAGTCCTTTCTTCCTAGTCCATTTTGGTCTGGAAGCTTCACTGAAACCTGTTCTGCATCATAGCAACATGCAAGCCTCCCCTGACAGACGGGTGGTGGCTGCGCATGAGGTGCATTGGCAGGGAATCGAACCTGGGTCTGCCGCATCGACAACAAGAATTCTACCTTGGAACTACCACTGCCTCCCAGCCTTGGTAGATACTGCCAAACAGTTTTCCAAAGTGATTGTATGAAAGTCTCCCATTACATTTTGATTTATCCTAGTTTCTTTCTAGGAATATTGCCTCAATTTCCGTTTTGACAGTACATTCCACATATCTTCTTTTACTTTAAAGGTAAATGTTTTGCTTGAGTCTTCCAGTTGCAGGACTGAGACCCCACCACCCTGATGCAGAACTGAAACCAGGCCTTCCAGCTCATGTGTGTGGCTGCAGAGACCTTGAGCATCTCTGGGTGCAGAGCCCTGCGCTTGGGGCGACAGGGAAGACAGAGGAAAGTTCATTTCAGCTGGAGGGATAGGAACCTGCAGGGAAGGTGACTTGAGAGTCACAGCAGCGTTGTCCCAGCTTCTGGCTGAGGCTGTGGAAGCAGAGGGAAGACGCTCAGACCCACACCCAGCCAGCCACCCCCGATCTGCCTGAGGCTCAGTCACTGTCTTTGTTGTGAGGAGCCTGGCTATTCCAGTATTCAGATCCTGTGATTTATCGAGCACGTTTTATAGACAAGGCACACGGGATTTAGGGCTGAAAGGACATAGTCTTTGCCTTCAAGGCCCACACAGTTTGATCCCACAGACTTCCCCAAGTAACAAAGCACAACGAATAGAGGTGGTCTAGTGAAGGGGCTGGAATCCCTGGGTGGTGCAAATGGTTAACATGCTTGGCTGCTAACAGAAAGGTTGGGGGTTCAAGTCTACCCAGAGGTGCCTCGGAAGAAAAACCTGGCAGTCTACTTCCAAAAAATCAGCCATTGAAAACCCTATGAAGCACAGTTCTACTCAGACACACCTGGGGTTGCCAGGAGTTGGAGTCA